AATTTCAACATCATTTACTCACTTTTTGTTTGTTAGACATTAAATTACATCACTTAGTATTACCTTGACTTTCAATTAACCTGATATATATATTTATGAGTGCTATTAAATTTAAAACTAAATTTTTACTTCTGTGTATAAATACTTGTTGCAAAATAAAATCCTTACATTCGCCTTGACAAAGTGCATCAGAGGACGAAACGCATCAGCTAAGATAAATTTTCCTTTTGTCATTAATGATATTATCCTCTTATAGATATATATTTTAGTTATATCTGAAATTTTACACACACACATATATATATAGTGATTTTCCAAGCGTAGCTTAGATGTGGCTCGAGGCCGAAAGTGTGGAGCACCTAGTGAGGATCAAACTCATTACTCAGTCGTAATTGTTCTGGTGAGACAAGCTTGCTAACCATTACACCACGCCAAGTTGCCCGACAAACACACACACACACACACACACATTAAAACTAGAAGGTTAAAGATCTCATCAATTTACAGTTGAGATGGCTAGATTTAGCCGTAAGTTCTATGTTAACAATTTCTTTTCTCGCACTACTCGCTTGTGGAACTACCTTTGTTTTCCAGCCAACTTTAATCTTCAAAAATTTAAATGCATTGTCAATCGATATCTACTGTTATCCTGATTGCTCTTTTCTCTTCCTGCACATTATTAATGTTTCTGTTCCTAATTCTTCCATACCTTGTAGCTTCTTGTGTCTTAGCGCCTTTACTATTTTTTATGGGGTAATACCGATTTATATATATATATATATATATATATATATATATATATAAACAACTGTCCAGAAATGATAGGGCACAGCAGACGGAGAATGTAGGTTACGTGTGTTGAACCTGGGGACGATGGTAGGGTTTACATTACAGGCTGACTGAAGTAGTGTAATGAATAAAATATTAGATAACGTATATTCAAGTTTTTTTTTGGCATCCCCCACTTCGTTACACTAGGAAGATTGTGTAGTTTTAGTTTTTCTGTTTTAAAATACTGTACGCAGGATTTAAAAACGTAATCTAACATTCAAATGTCTGAAATCCATTCGAATAATTTTTGAATAATAACTGAAGCAAATACACAAAGGACTCACCCACCAAGTACATAGGTTTAATTTACACCGCGTGCCAAATTATTATCGAGATAACTTTTTTCTAATATTTCAAAAACCGTCCAATCAATTCACACAAAATTCTCACACAATGTTGGAAACACTGAACTGCGCAATCACTGCAATTTTCGACCTGATCTGCGCAATGTAAACGAACTGGCGCCATATTTATTATCAGCACGGTGATTTGAGCGTGCCAAATTATTAGAAAAGTGTAAGAATTTAGTAAAAAATGGGCCATAATAGCAGTTTAAGTGATGCTGAAAAGAAAACTATCACCTCAGAACTCTCAAAAGGTAAATATACCCTAGAAATTTCTAAAATGATAGGGAGGTGCCATTAAAAAGCGAAAAAGTTCAATGCCGACCCTACACAAGTACGCAAAAGGGCAGATAAAGGCAAGCCAAGGGTTATTTCACGTCGTCTCATGTCACGACTTAAACGAGAGGCCACGAAGAACCCTGGACTTACCAGTCAAGAGCTTTTCCGTCGTACCTACTATCCTTCATATCCTACTGTGTCTAAAAGTATTCGGTGTCGGTATCTGAGGGAAATAGCAACAATAGTCAAACCTGTATCGAAGTCTCCGTTGACGAGAAATCACATTCAAAGTCGATTGAAATGGGCAGAGGACAATATGAAGATTGACTTCTCTAAAGTTTTGTTCACAGACGAAACTCGAGCTACACTTGATGGGCCAGATAGATGGTGCAAAGGCTGGGTGATGAACGGACAGAATCGTCATCAGTGTTTGAGACACCAACACGGCGGTGGATGCATAATGATCTGGGGTGGTATTATTGGAAACACATTAGTGGGCCCATAGAGAGTACCAGATGGCGTCAAAATGACTGCTGATGCATACATAGCATTTATGAAGGAGCATCTTGAACCGTGGATGAAAAGGCAAAGAGTTGCCTTCAGAAGGGCCATTGTTTTTATGCAAGATAATGCTCCCTCACACGCTGCTCACAAGACTACTGAATATTTGAAACAGTTAGGCTTCGATGGACCTCGAAAAATGAAGTGGTCAGCAAATTCTCCGGATTTGAACCCAATCGAAAACCTTTGGAGCATCATGAAGCAAAGACTGTACGCCAACGGACGACAATTCAGGAGCAACGCTGAGTTATGGGAAGCAATTCTTGACATATCTCGCGGCATTACAGCAGATGACATCCTACAATTAATAAATTCTATGGATCGTCGACTTTTTCAAGTAATTTCAAAACAGGGAAAGCACATTCCCTATTAATTTGTTTAAAATTGTGCCCTTGTTTGTATCTGTTATTATTTGTTTGATTAACCTATTTATTAGCTTCTTTTGATCATAAACATTCAGGTTCAACATTAATAAACTTTTTGTTTGCTCAATTCTGGGAATTTTACTAAACCTTTTTAATAATTTGGCACGCTCAAATCACTGTGCTGAAAACAAATATGGCGCCAGTTTGTTTATATTGCGCAGATCAATCCGAAAATTTCAGAGATTACGTAGATCAGTGTTGCCAACATTGTGTGAAAATTGATTGGACGGTTTTTGAAATAGAAAAAAAGTTATCTCGATAATAATTTGGCACGCAGTGTATATTAAAAAAGTCTCTCACTAAAGCAAAGCTGTGAAATGTCCACTGTGTATAATTTTTCATTTTTAACTTTTCTCTAGATCAAATGAATTTTTTAGTCATTTCTCACCAGGGAAGGAGATAATGTTACAAAGACGCAAGGGATAGTTGGAAATGAAAAAGACGTTAGATGGAACAGAAAAACCAATCTTAAACAGGAAATAAAGGATAAACCACTATTTCTATTCAAGGGACGGGGAAGAATTGTTAGGCGGGCAATAAGCAAAATTATCAAATTGATACCATTATCGATATATGTATTCGGTTGAATATTTTTGTACTTTGAAAAGTAAAAAATGGATTTGCAACGCTTTATTATCGCAGTAAACAGTTTCCTTATTTGAATACAAAGAAATCACATTTTACTAAATGTCATTCGTCCCAACCAAATGCAAGATAGCGTTAAAATGACCCAAGCAGGTTACAGATATCAGATTTTTGACAGCTTTTTCCTTGACAATATTTCCTAGCCCTATAAAACGATAAACGAAATTATCGATGGACACTGACATAACCAGCGCATTGGTTAAATTCATTAGCTTTTTTTTTTTTTTCGATAGATTCCAATTTCGTGTGACAGCGGCCTTGACTGACAAAACCCCGGACAAAGATACCACCGAGAACTTAACTTTCTATTCTTTGATAAGCTCAACCCTTGTATCCTGCATTTGCCATTTTACTAAAGCTTTGCACATTGACCGCACATATTTTTGTGCATCAGTACCCCAACGAATTAGACCTATTTTTTAGAGGGAGCCAGTGATACTGCTCTCTGTCAAAGGCAATTTTTCTACTGGCTCCACCATTTTGTTCAAATCATCTGCGCAGGGTTTCACCTCAGTGAACAAGATGAGCTTTGAAAAATTTCCATCTTTTTTTTCTATATGCTTTTTAGAAGTGTTTTTTCTTGCATTAAATTGCTGAAGCGTTTGTTATTCCTCATTCATTTCGGGAATCTATCTATCTATCTATCTATCTATCTATGTCTGTTCGGATTTATCTCTCTATCTATTCAGATTTATATGTCTTTGTCTATTCGGATCTATTAATATATCTATTCAGGTTTATATATCTTTGTATATTCAGATCTATCTATCTATCTATCTATCTATCTATCTATCTATCTCAGTCTATTCGGATTTATCTCTCTCTCTATCTCTCTCTACTATCTATTCAGATTTATATGTCCTTGACTATTGAGATCTATTAATATATCTTTATATATTCAGATCTATCTATCTATCTATTGAGAACGATATCGATTTGATTTATTTGGTCGAGAGCAAAGGTAAAAATGAAAAGTATTACAGAGGAGGTGCTTCATAGCTTTGCCTTTCTGACAAACCTTTTGCACATAGATTAAATCAAATCGATTTACATTTCTATAGTAAAATCTGCGATGCTGATAGGATACAAGTGTATCGATGTTGTGTCGACAAATGATAACACTAGACCTGGTATTTCATATATAACATTACGTCTTATTTCAATCCGCTACTTCCTTACAGACGGGAAGTTGTGGAGAGCCATGATCGGACACGTTAAATAAAAGATTTTAATAAGAAAAGTCACCCATCTCTTCCATATTTTGATAGTGTAGCAGCCGCACTTTTAGCCCAAATTCTCTTTCGTGAACGGTTGATAAAGAACGAGATCCCACCCCCGAGTGTGTTAACCATTGCGCTTACTTCTTGTCAAGTGATGACAGTAACTGTGACTGAAGACATAAGAATATATTCAAGTCTTCACTAAATCAGCTACATAAGATGGTTTAAAACTGCACACAAATCTTCACCCGTTTCCTGAGAAAACAAACGAATTTACAAATGATTACAATAAAACTAAACCAGATAAGTTTATTATAAAAAGAACAATTTAAAAACCCACAAAAAGCATAAGATCTTTGCCAATCATGTTCCACTTTATTATTTTTTTAAAAAAATATTTTTTCTCCTGCCTCTTTTCGAAACCAAACACATCGAGATTCCATTTTCACGGCGTTGTGTACGCTGCCACTTGTAAACCGATTTGACATCACGATCGTTTAAATATTGTCCTGCAATGTCCATAAACGCCTTTTAAGGTTTTAATCTGCGCAGTTGTTGACATAACTTCGTCCATTGCCTCGCTGTCGTAGGCTGTCATAGAACCGTTGTAAGGATGGAATGAGAAGATATGGCTGGAAATGGTTGGATAGGGTCACGGAGAAAGAGGAATAGAAAGAAGCGAAAAAGAAGGCGATCTATTCGTTTGTCCTTTCCTTGAGATGAAGGATTGGAAAGAGAGGAAGGGAGAATATAGAGAGATGGGGTCGGGAGAAGGGCGAAGAGAATAAAAAGAAGAAAGGAAAGAAAATATGAGAAAGATTGAGAGAAAAGAAGAAGGAAGAAAAGAAAGAAGATATAGTAAAAGTTAAGAAAAAGGAGGAAGCAAAAGGGTTGATTTGAAATGGGAAGAAGGTAGAGATGTAAGAAACAGAGAGAGAGAGAGAGAGAGAGAGAGAGAGAGAGAGAGAAAGAGAGAGAGAGGGAGAGGAGAAAGAAAGACAAAGACAAAGGAAAGGAAGAGAAAAGCTAATAAATGGAAAAGGAAGTACGCACGCGCGTACACTAGTTCCTCTTCCATCGCTCTCTCTTTTTCTCTCACATACACATAGAAAGAAAGAAAGAAAGAAAGAAAGAAAGGGGAAAAGATAGATAGAAATGGACACTAACGAAGAAATAAAGAAGCAGAGTGATTAAAGGAAGGCAGGAGGGAGGTCGTGAAGCAAGTAAGAATACATAAGAGAGGGAAGAAACAGGATGAGGAAGACACGTATCAAAGAAAGGTGATGGGCGGGAAAGAGGCAGGGCGAAAGAGAAAGCGAAGAAAGAAAGTAACGAAAAAAAAGGAGAGTGAAAGTGAGAGAAGAAGAAAACAAAGAGAAAGAAAGAAATATATAAAAGTGAGTGAGTGCAAAAGAGATAGATAAAAAGAAAGAAAAGAGCACTAGTAAAAAAAGATGAAACAAGAGAAAAAGAGTAAGATATAGACGTAGAGAAAGATGAGCGGTAAACGAGAGACCAGAAAAAAAGAAAGAAAAAAATAAAATTCGTGTAAGAATGAGAATGTGAGAAAGAAAGAAAGAAAGGTAGATAGAGAATGAGAGAGGGGGAGGAGAGAAAGCATTTTTGTTCATAGCTATATAGTAGCTGATCACCGCACTGACAAGGTGTAAATTGTTAAGATGCCACAATTCTTGGTTTGTTTTATTTTCGATGCTACAAGAATGAAATACAATCTACCAACGCCAAATAACCAGAAATTGTGACTCATTTGAAAAATTGCTTCTTTAAGTTGATAGTTGTTGAGTTCAAATTTCAGAGAACACATTCGTCTCATTTAAGAACAATATGGCTGTTCAAGCATTGATGTATACACTTAAATATAATTTAGAGACATATGAAGTTAAACTTGAAGATTTGACAATGAAAAACAAATTAACCTATCTAGTTCCCAATTTTTCAGCTAAGTAATCATCTTGTGAAACAGGGTATCCGCTAAAACACGTAGTACATCTAAATTATACCTTGTTCAGATTACCGACGCTTTTGGGTATAACCTCGTATATATATATATATATATATATATATATATATATATATATATATCCCTCGATTAATGCGCATTCGATTAATCCGTCTTCGATTCGTGCGCTAATATTTTTATATGCCAAAATTCAATTAGCGCATACATAAATTTCGATTAATGCGGTAAAACACTCTTTAGTTTAACCATAGTAATTGAAAACCGATTTTTTATAGTTACCGATGTACACATTAGCCGCACTAATCGAGGGATTCTCGTATATACAAAGGTAAGTAAAAAAATCATCCGCACTTTCGTCATAATATATCTTTTGGTATGTTATATAGCTTTCTGCCAATGCGTGCTTATAGTTGGTACTATTATGGTCACCTGATCGAAGATCAAAGAGTGGATAAAAGCGAAGGCTTTTGAATTTGGTGATATAATGATTGTGAGTTTAATCCCTGGGTCGGGCAGTGTATACTGTACTCAGTGGAAACGGGCGTGAATAACTAAACAGTACTAAATAAAAATAAGAACTAGACGATGTCTTTAGAGGATAGTCCATCCTGTACATTAAATAATCCACTATGCTATTAGCTCAAGGGGCAGTGTGTACACCTTGGTACACACAGCTAGCGGGGTGGCCATGTTTACATTGTAACAGCACCAAAAAATCTGGTGTGATCAAGTTCAACCTTCGATCAGGTGACCATAGGTTAATGATGCGATGTCAATGTGGACAATAGTCCAAATATAAATAATGCAAATAATGATAACTCACCATCCCAGAAATTCAGACAGAAAATTACCATTTCTGTAGATTGATTTATTCATATTGCTGTACTCGTTTTGGTGCTTACTTTGGTCGTTGTATTCTCCGGCCTTGCATAATAATTTCTGTGTTTGCTATAAAAAGGTGTTGCTATAGGTCTAAAGCAGTTTCCATATCCCGAATAACTGCAATTTAACTTCAATGCCAAAATAATATAATTGCCGAAATGCTAATGGAATTATTAGCTGTTTCCTTATAAGGAAACATTCGGCATTCATTCAGCGAGTAGCCAATATTGGTCTCGGTTGGAATTTATAAAATCTTTCTATTTATTTTATCAGGCAAACAGATTTCTCAATTCTCGTAGCTGTCATCGTTCATTCCAGTATTAATTGTGGTCTCTTTACAACCATTTTATTTGAAATAGTGTGGAATGTCATTATTTTCTCTTCGAGTTGCATGTGATATCCATTTTAGCTGTTGCTACTGTTGAAAGTCCTCATATGATGTGGTTTCTATTGTTTGGTACAGTTCTTTATGATTCTGTAACGCTAGTCCACAAGGTTCGAAGAAATGTGGTCTATGCGAAGACTCGTAGACTTCACTTACACAAAGCCATTTTTAACCAATGATCTGAATAAGCGGTTGTATACAGTTGACAGTTTAGATGTTTCTGAACGGGGTTGGCGTCATGCATGACATCCATATGAAAGACTCGATCTGTTGAGATAAAAAAAGAAACATGAAAAAGATGAAGGTACGGCAGCGTATGTTGGACGATTTCATCAAAGATGAAGAAAAGACTCGACGCGACGGAGATGTGGTTCTACAGAAGGATGCTAAGGATATCATGGACCGAGCTTGTGAGCAACGATGAGGTCTTAGAGAGGTCATACAGAGGCTTATACTCTATACTATAAACATCAAGAAGAGGCAGCTGAAGTTTCTGGGACACATAATGAAGAAGGGCCTGGAAAATCTGATTGAATAGAGGGAAAGAGAGATAAGGGAAAACAACGCGTGACATACCTGGCGGGCTTAATCAAGTGGATGACAGAATGTAATCTGATGGGGGAGGAGCAGAGGGAAGGAATATGGTGAGAGCTGCAAGGGATAGAGGGAGGTGGAGAGCTATAATCTCCTACGTCCTGAAGGGACATGGCACATAAAAAGAAAAGAACTGTTGAATTATGGGATCTGTGTATATTGATTACTATCGCTCTCTTTTTTTTTTATTTTATTAATGTTTTACCATGTTGTCCCAATAACAAAATATCGTAAAACCGACCAGCGTTGAAACAAGATTAACAGAAGCCTCGAGACTAAAATCTTTATCGATAACATTTTACGCCTGGGCTTCGCGCTTAAGAAAAGTTAACGTCTATGAATAATCGGAAATCTGACTGTCTACGCTCTTGTAAATTTTCTGCGTTTGTTTCGATTTGCTTATGTACATAGATGTATACGAATATTTATGCAATCGTTATACACATATACGCCCATACGCACAAGGAGCTCTGATATAGTTTGATGATCACTTGAAATTGACAGTCACCATGCAATATTGATTACTATGTCCACACTGTCTATAAAAAAAACCTCTTTTATGGCAGACTCAATGATCTTCTACTATAAATATAGCAAATTATAAATAATTTAATGATGTGAATTCGTACATACGAGCGGAGTATACTAAAGTTGTGGCCTGATGCATTGTTATTTCGACCTGAAATTTTCACTGTATAATGTTTTATCTGTATGATTGATATGCATCAATGAATTAAGTGATAAGGATGGGGATTATTTTGAAAAAAATATATTGGTTGTATAAAATATTTTTTTATCCTTATGCTACCGACTTATTGATGTACCAACACAAGCACGGCGTCACAAAATAAAAAGTAAAAAAGCGAAATCAGACGTCAAATGTTCCGGGAGATCTAATTCTGATGTGAAAAGCTAAGAGAGCACTAATTCTGATGTCAAAAACTAGGGGAGGGCTAATTCAAATGTCAGAAATTTGGGATGGGCTAATTCAGATATCAGAAACTAGGGGAGGGCTAATTCAGATATCAAAAACTAGGGGAGGGCTAATTCAGATATCAAAAACTAGGGGAGGGCTAATTCAGATATCAAAAACTAGGGGAGGACTAATTCAGATGTCAGAAACTTGGGAAGGGCTAATTCAGATGACAGAAATTTGGGAAGGGCTAATTCAGATGTCAAATGTTCCGCGGGGGCTAATTTTGATGTTTAAAAGCTAAGAGAACGCTAATTCAGATGTCAAAAACTAGGGGAGGGCTAATACAGATGTCAAAAGTTTGGAAATTAAAGACCTACATACATGAAATTGTCTTTAAATTAAGTGGCGACAGAAGAATTATCGTTGAGCTTAGCTAAGCTAAGCTTAAATATTAATGCAGTACTTAAATATTAATGCAGTACTTAAATGCAGCGATCAATTTTGAGTTCTTCTGTAGTTTATTGTTGCCTATCTCATCTACTCCTTCCTACCTATTGTGATGAAGACCCAATCAAGAGCCCTCCGCAGGAGCTAGCTTAAACGCACCAGCTTTTTAAGCTAGTCTCTATATAAACGTTTTAGAAGCTAATGTTTCGATGGAAAAACAGAAAACTTTTTGGAAAATTATTGACAGATCAATAGCATTTGAACTTTTCTTTTGTTGAAACTTGGATAAGCATGGAATAATAATAATACAACACAAAATGTACGTAAACAAAATGTATTGAAACAAGGAAAAGGTACACAATATTTACAGTTAGTTTTGGTATATTCTTGGGAAGACTGTTCCTGAGAATTAAAGATGTTGTGGTACGATACACCTAATTTACATAAGTGGAGTACCGACCATATAAAGAACGAATATTTTCTATGAAAATTTCTCGGACATTCAGGCCGGTAAATGTTATTTAATACTGTTTATTATAAACAGAGCATTTACTTAAATACTTGTATCTATAAAAAAGAACGTTAAACATAAAAATGTCTTTAATAAATAAATTGTCGGACTTTGTCCATTTCTTAATATATATATATAGTCTATATATAAAAGTAAACATACATTGAAGTCAACACTCAGAGGCGACAAGCTGCTTCATGCTAGACGCAATCGTCAGGCCACCTTTTATATTTACACACGCTCTATCTCTGATATTGAGCACTTTATCTCATAAATATAGCACAGCTTAGAATTATATTTATTCACACACACACACACACACACACACACACACACATATATATATATATATATATATATATATATATATATATATATATATATATATATAGTGTATATGTATGTATGCATTTGTATTTATATTTATGTTCAAACTTTAATTTTCTGTAAACATTAACCGAAAAATATATAAATGAATAAATACATTAGATAACATCTGAGGGAATAACTGAAAGCCAAACAATAAATGTTCCCTTATTATGAATTTAATCTTAATGGCGGTGGCACAGTCTTTATCATTGTCCGATTTCTCGTTTCACAGAAATGGCATGAAGGAAGTTGTGTCGAGGGAGACTGGCAACACGTATGGACGAAACATTGCTTAAATTAAAAAGAAAAATATCGGCACCGGATGGACGAACAAATGCAGGCGCTGAGTCACAATGCTGGTGAGTAAACAATGAAGAACTAATCCAAAGAAGCAGACGTTGCAAGTAACGCATGCTAGGATACCATTGGCATTTACAAAGAGAGGCGCATGTACACAACACCGATTTAAAGTTTTTTGCTCATTTAAATACTTGTAAACTGTGTGGGACTCACCGATATAATTTTCAACTTCGATTAAAAAATAGG